AGCGGTGGCCGATGCCATCTCTCGTGACGCCGTGCGACCAGCGCGACCGGTTCTTACCCTATCCCTTTTCAAGGAGACGCTGCCCACAGCCCTCGCACGGGCCTATACGTCTCCCGGTGCCCCTCGCGTGCGCCCGCGCCCCCTTCAAATTATCCTGGCGAAGGACCCAACCATAAGCAATTGTTCGTAACGCGTTGTGGGTGCCGCTTTAGGTGGGGCTCCCTATGGGGCCACGAAACGCTGCCTTGGGTGGGGGAACCGCATGCGAACTGCGCCACTGGGGCGGGCCTTCGGTGGAGCTCCCTATGGGGCCACGAAACGCTGCCCTGGGCGGGGGAACCGAATGCGAACTGCGCCACTGGGGCCTTCGGTGGAGCTCCCTATGGGACCACGAAACGCCGCCCTGGGTATGGCAACCGCACGCGAACTGCGCCACGGGGGCCTTCGGTGGAGCTCCCTATGGGGCCACGAAGCGCTGCCCTTGGTGGGGGAACCGCATGCGAGAGCAGCCACTGGGGCCTTCGGTGGAGCTCCCTATGGGGCCACGAAGCGCTGCCCTGGGTGGGGGAACCGCATGCGAGAGCAACCACTGGGAGGAGGAAGGAAGGTGGGACGCGGGGCGCTGTCTCTTCAAAACGAGGACCCAACACCAGAGGATGGTTGGGAAAAAGAACATACATGCTGCGCGGAGCCTGGTCCGGACCTCGGAGCCTCCGCGTCGGGAATCCAGCGGGGTGAGCTGATTCGCTGGCCCCCCTCTTGCCAAGCGGCCCCTCTCGTCCGACCCGCCCCCCAGGGCGGACCCAAGGTGTGTGTCTACAGTCGGGACGTTGACCTAAGGAACCCTAAATAAGGAACGAGGCCCATTTATCCCATAAGTTAACCTTCGATTTCTCATGGGAAACCTCAGGAAGACCTGAGGCAAACTGTTAAACGATCCAGGAACACCGAGCCCCTCCCCAACGAAAAGGGTTCCTTCTTCAGCGCCCCGACTGTATGTGTGTGTGTGTGAGTGTGTGTGAGTGTGTGTTTGTGTGTGCATCGTACTTTTCTGGAGCGGGCCGCCTGCGGCGCCGCATGTGCCTGATTACCGTGATCACCGTGCACCTCTTCTTTTTTTCTGCACGTGCAGCCGCCTGTCGGTTGCCCCCTCCGTCGGCGCACGCTCGGGGGTAATCCATTTGGCGCGTCCCGCCGATGCCCTCGCCGAGTTGAAGCAGCTTCGGCAGCGAGCGGGGGAGGGGGGGGACGCAGGATATCTTCCAGAGGGCCAGAAGCCCAGACCCCCGACGTCATGATTTTTTCATGACGCGGCCCCCAGAGGTCCAGACCCATTCCCCAGGACCGGCTTTTCATCCTGAGTCGTTTTTTGACGGTCCTGAGGGCCGGTAAGGGCCCCCAGAGGCCGAAAATAGCGAAAAACCTCTCGTCGTGATTTTTTCATGACTCGAGGGGGTCTGGGAGGCCAGAGGCCTTCTGAGAAGTCCCGCCGCCCTCCGAGAAGGCCTTCTCCTTCTCACTTCCCCCCCCCCTCCGCTAAAATGGAGAAAATGGCGACCGGGGGACGAAATTAGCTGCATGCAGCTGGTTTCGGCCTCACCGAGGGGCCCATTCCTCGATACATAGCCGCCTCCGGCGCCGGGAGGCGCCGGGAAAATCAGCTACGTGAGCTGATTCTCAACCCCCCCCTTGGCTATCCCCCCCTTTCGCCCGACCCGAACATCGCCGATGCCCACGCGATGCGGCTCGATGTGGAGCCCTTAATTTATCCACGCCGACGTCGCTGTTCTTTTCTCGTTCGGGCAGAGAGGCCAAGAGGAACAGGCAGAACAAATGGAAGAACAAGCCGGAAGGCGAAACGAAAGAACGACACCGTTCAGTCACGTTGCATCTTCGGGGAACCTCGCCTGTCCCCCACATTGGTGTCTTCTCTTGCGCCCGACGCGGGCTCGACGCGGACTCGACGCGGGCTTGGCGCGGATCCGACGCGGATCCGACGCGGATTCGACACGGACTCGGCACGGATCCGACGAGTCCGACGTGGATTCGACCCCGCTTCGACGCGCACAGGGCCGAGAGGGGACAGACGAGGCCCCCCGAGGATGCAATGTAGCGTTCCGGCCCAGCCTTAAGTCGGCCCTGTCCCCCTACAGGAGGATTTTCGACGAAAAATACAAGATACCCCAACATGAATAGCCAAAAAATAGTCCAAACATAGTCTGGGGATTCTTGTTGGACTATGTTTTTATCTCTTTGGGACATTCTGGGGGGTATTTTTCGTTTTTGTCGTCAAAACTCCCCCTGTAGGGGGACACGCCCGACAGAAGCCCAGCCCCTGCACCACCCGACGGGCTCGGGCTCGAGCCTCGGGCCCCTCCTCTCGCCCCGCGGCAGGAGGCGCGGCGCCCCCCCCCGCCCACACCCCCTGCGATGGCTGCGCGGGGAGGCGGGCCGCCGCCCCGCCCCGCCCCGCCCGCCGACGGGGGCGCCCCGCCGCCTCGCCGTCGGGCCGAGGCGGATAGGGGGGCCACGTGCGAGCCCTGCCCCAGATTTCGTAATAAAAGGGAGGGGGTCTGGACCCTCCAAGACAAGCCATTTCAGACCTCCCCCGTGGGAGAACCCTCCAAAACATCGTCCCCAGACCCCCCAGGCCCTCCAAGATAGCCTGGAAGAGACCACCCCCGAAATGAGACCCCCCTCCCTTTATTACGAAATCTGGAGTACCCCTACCCCCCCACGATTTCTGAGGGGGAGGGCGGGGTTCGCTTCGCTCGGGAGCTCCCGAGCGAAGCGAACCCCACCCCTCCCCCCTCAGAGAAATCGTGGGGGGCAGGGGCAGGGTTCGCACGTGGCCCCCTAGTAGACGATCTCGGGAGATCGCGGCACGGATGGAGGCGGGTACGTCCCTCTACAGGAGGAACATTCTCAAGGATGGCAAGTCAAGATCATTGTTTGGTGGCCATTGTTCGTGCTCTTTTTGATTATAATTGATGTTATGTTGGGATTATTTGTATCCTTTTTCCCACATCTGCCCGAAGGAGGACACGCCCGACCTAAGGCACAGATCGAGCAGATGGGGTCGTAGGATCGCGCCACATCCCCGATGCATCGTCGATGCGGCTCGATTGCAGCCTGGATGGTTTCACGCCGACGTCGCCGATGCATCGCCGGCGTCGACGATGCGTAGCCAGTGCATCGCCGATGTATCGCTGATGCATCGCCGATGTATCGCCGTTCCCAGAGGAGGAGAAGGAGGAGGAGGACTAAGAGGAACGGAGGAGGAGGAGAAGGAATATGAGGAGGAGGAGGGAAGAGGGAGGAGGAGGAGGAGGAGGAGGAGGAGGAGGAAGAGGAGGAGGCGGAGGAGGAGGGAGGAGGAGGAGGGGAGGAGGAGGAGGAGGAGGAGGACAAGAAGAGAGAGGGGAGGAGGAGGAGGAGGAGGAGGAGGAGGAGGAGGAGGCGGAGGAGGAGGAGATGGAGGGAGGAGGCGGAGGATGAGGAGGAGGAGGGAGGAGGAGGAGGAGGAGCAGGAGGAGGAGGAGGAGGAGGAGAAGAAGAAGAAGGTACCGATACTGCTACATTTGCCTCTTTTCATCTTTTCGGGCTTCATGGGAGTCCCGTGTCCTCGTCGTCGTTGTTTTTCTCGTCGTCGTCGTCGTTGTCGTCATCGTCGTCGTTGTCGTTTTGAGGAGGCAGAGGTACCACCAGTAGTAGAGCAAGCCCTCCAGACCATGATCAAGATGCGTGAACAAATGAGGAGGCAGATGGCGACGGTGGAAAGCTATCAGAGGGACAAAAGCCAAGCAGAGCACCGTGAAGGCAGCAGGAGGAGCAAGATCAAGAGCAGCGAAACAGAGCAAGCAGAAGCAGGGTTCAGGGAAATGGAAGGAGCTGGAAAGCCAGTACCGATACGGCTACTCTTGCCTCGTTTTCATCTGCTCGGGCCGAGTCCCTCGTCGCCGCCCCTGGCTTCGCCTCGAACTTCTGGTCAGAACGCTCCCCAGGAGAGGTCCAGGGAGCAGCAGTATCGGTATCTTGCGCCCCCTGTCGTCGTCGTCGTCGCCGCCGCCGCCGTTGCCGCCGTTGCCGTCGTCGTCGTCGTCGTCGTCGTCGTCGTCGTCGTCGTCGTTGTCGTAGTCGTCCTCATCGTCGTCGTCCTCGTCATCGTCGTCGTCGTCGTCGTCGTCGTCGCGGTCGGGCCCCCCGTCAATTTTGGCACACCCTTCACGCGTTTCGCGGCTGCACACGAGACACGGGGCTGCACCGCAGGCCTCAGTGGCATGGCCTCGCCCCCGCGTGTTTCAGCACACCGCGTGCTCCAGCACAGACGTGCCAGAACTTCACGGTCTGAGCATGCTCCGCCGCCCGCAGCTTCTTAAGTTCTTCTCCCCCCTCCGCCTTTGTCCTTTTCCTGTTGTGCACACATTGACCTCGAAGCGTCCTTCGACCTCTCGACTCCCCCGACCGCGTCTTGGACCCATGTCGCCGCGACCCCAAAAAAGTTGTGGCACCCCCCGCACGCGGTTCGCGGCCACACAGGGAGCTTCGTATGTGTCAGGGCGCATTGCTTGTGAGGCGAGCATGAGACCCAGCGCCACTTGCAGCTGCTTTTGGTTGGATCCCTTCTCTGGGCTGACCACACGCCCGCCGCTCCCATCGGCAGCGGGCCACAGCTCGGTCAGGGACATCCACGAGGAGATCGCAGGGCGCAAGGCTCCAGCACCAATCGACAACATTGTCCCCTGCGCGACTTGAGCCAGGGAGAAGGGGTGAAAGGAGGAACGAGGGTCGAAAGAAGGATGGGAAGTGGAGGGAGGAGGTGAGGTAGGGAGGGAGGCGGACGGAGGGAGGGAGGGAGGAGTGGTGGAGGAAGGGCCCTTTTCGCCACACCGCCATCACCGCGACATGACGAGCCAGCAGTACTCGCAAGAGGGCATCTTGCCGTTGCCAGCGCAACGACTGTGATCACCGTGGCCATCGTCACCGTGCACGTCCGCGGCAGGACTGGCCCAAGTCGTCTTCTGCTCGTGCATGTTGGAGCGTGCACTCTCTCCTTTGTTCTAGGCCTCCCAAGTGGGGTCCAAGCAAATGGGGTCGAGTGATCGCTCCGCATCGCCGATGCATCGACGATGCGGCTCGATGTGCCGCCAGAACTTCTCCACGCCGATGGCGTCGTTGCGTCGCCGACCCATGCATCGCCGAGGCATCTGCCATGCGGCGCACTCCTCCGACCCCATTGAATTCTGACCTCAGCGGGGAGGCCTCTGTCTATAGGCGCTACCCCAAGTGGGGCCAGAGCCTTGGGCGGGCCCTCCTCTAGAATCGAAGAAGAACAAAAACGGCATCAACATAAGCTTTTGGCGCTCCGCGCGGATTGCTTGGATCCCCGCTGGGCCCCCCACCCCGGCGCGCCTCCGGCGCCGCCCCTGGCGCGCCCCGCGCGCCAGGGAGGGAGGGCCCGGCGTGGATCCCAGAAGCCCGCGCGAAGCGCCACAATCTTATGTTTATGCCTCTCCTTTGTCTTCTTGTTCTTCTTCTTCTAACGGCTTCTTCGTTTTCTTCTTCGTCTCCTTATGCCTTTTCTTTGTCTTCTTCGTCTTCTTCTTCGTCTTCTTCTTCTTCTTCTTATTTTTCTTCTTCCTCTTCTTCTTCTTCTCCTAGCGAAGCCCAGCCCGTGGCAGCGGATGTCGGCTCCGCCGGCGCCCCGCGGCGCCGCAGCGGGCCGCGAGGAGTGCTGGCGGGGCGGCCGCACGCCCCAGCGCTGCTGCGTGCGCGCGGACCTGGCCTGCTGGGCCGAGGCCTCGGCCCGGGCGCGGTGCTGCGGCAACCAGTCGCTGCCGTGGTGGCACGGCGGCCGCGTGGGAGGACCGGCGGCACGAGAGGATGGCGGCGCGCAGGGGGGGCTCTTTTTGCGCATGCTCTGACCGTTTGCCATTTTCCTTCCGGACTCCGCCTGTAGGAGGACATGCCCGACCTAGGGCTAGCAGGTGGCTTTCCCTGAGGTCCGGGCGCTTCGCGCCGGGCGTGTGCGCTTGGCCTCGGCCATCTCACGGATCGACCCGTCTCGGACCCTGCAGCAGGCAGACGGGGCCTAGGGCTCCAGTCGCGATGTTTCGCGATTTTTATTTTTTTTTGTTGGGGGGGGGGCGATGCTTTTTTTTGGGGGGGGTTGTTTGGTTATTGTTTTGCGTTGTTTCGCTACTTGTTTCGATGTTTCGATGCTTCGCGACGTCGGATCTCAGGGAAGGATCGCCCTCCGCTGGAGTGGCCTCTGGTGCGCGGCTTCCCCGGGTCGGGGGGTGGACGGGGGGCGCCCCTGGCTTTCCGGGAGGGCAAGAAAAATAGCACCCGAAGCTTGACCCCTTTCAGTGCCTGCCGAGGTTGAGGCAGCCCAGATGGGTTTATAGTTACGTCGGGCATGTCCCTCTACAGGAGGAATCTCCAAAAATAGTATTAGAAAAATAGTCTGGGGACGATTTCGTCGACTGCTTGTGGCTATGTTTGAGCATTTGTTGGATATGTTTGATTGGTCTTGCAGAATCCGCCTCTAGGGGGACATGCCCGACCTCAGTCTGTAGGTCTGGAGGGCCATGTTCACTCCGCTGGACCTCCCTGGAGCTTGCGATAGCGGTGACAGCGAGGTATAGGCTTAACCCCTTCAGGCCCACGCACCCTGAGGGGCACTCAAGCAGCTCGCGACAGCAGCGGTTGTTGCGCGACTGGCAGTCCACCAAGGAGTCGAGATCTAGTTTGAGATTTTCGACGAAAAATAGAAACTACCCCAAACAGAATCCAAAAATTGTCCATACCTAGTCTGGGGACTATTGTTTTGGTATGTTTGACCTTTTTGGGGTATTTTCGGGGTATCTCTTATTATTCGTCGAAAATCCCCCTTGTAGGGTGACACGCCCGACATAAGCCATGTTTACACACTCCTGGAAGGTCAGGGGCAGGGGGCCAGGCCCAGGCACGCGCGGAGGCCGCCAGACTGCCGCACCTTGGCGCGCGCAGCGATCGGCACGCCGAGCCGCCACCACAGAGAGAGACCATTGTTTTGTTCTTGCCCAACGCTCCTCCTCCTCCTCCTCCTCCTCCTCCTCCTCCTCCTCCTCCTCCCTCCATCTCCTCCTCCTCCTCCTCCGCCACCTCTTTCTTCTTTTCCCCCTCCTCCTCCCTCCATCTCCTCCTCCGCCTCCTCTTCCTTTTTTTTTCTTTGCCCAACACTGCGGGGGGCTGCTCCGTCGTACGTGACGGCCCGGAGGAAAGGCCCGCTTCGTGCTCTGGTTCGTGCGCGAGCGCCCCGCCTGCGTGACGAGCCCCCATCTGCGGCCCGCCGCCTGCTGCGGCGGCACCGCCGAGGCGGCGTCCTCCTGCTGGGGCGGCGCCTTCACCAAGGAGAGGGCCGAATCAAGCAGTGGCGAAGCGTCCTGGCTCGCCTATAGCCCTACCAGACAATATGTTAAGAACCTTTTGTGGTTTCCACGAAATGTTCTTCGAACATGTCTGGCGGAGGTTGTCTTGTTTTAGCATATCGGGTTTATGTTCTAAGAACATTGTTCTTTACCTAGGCTCTGCCTAGAAGGGTTCTTACTCTTTGGGCTTAAAGGGGCCGGGCAGCGGGAACCGGCCCGGGCGGTTCCCCCAGGATCCGCCCCGCGGTTCCCCCAGTTACGTCCCATTAGCTTAGCGTTGCTTTTATCATCTTAGCTCAGCTGATTTCATCTTAGCTCAGCTTATTTTCATCTTAGCTGAGGTTTATCTTAGCTTAGCTTACCTTCATCTTGGCTTCGCTGAGCTTTAGCATAGCAGAGCACAGCATAGCATAGCATAGCGTAGCATAGCATAGCGCAGCACAGCATATCATAGCACAGCCCAGCATAGCATAGCATAGCGCAGCATAGCATAGCATATCATAGCATAGCATAGCATAGCGCAGCACAGCATAGCACAGCGCAGCATAGCATAACATAGCATAGCATAGCAGAGCATAGCATAGCAGCAAAGCAAAGGCAAAGCAACAGCAGCGACAGCAAAGCAAAGCACAAGCAACGCAAAGCAAAGCAAAGCAAACACAAAAGCAAAGCAAAGGAAAGGCAAAGCAAAAGCAATGTGCGATTAGTGTTGTCGGTCTCTGTTTCGGTACAACGAGATATGTATGTGATCCTTGCGTTCAGGACCCTCATTGAGGGGGGTGGGGGTCTCATTGGAGCCGCCATCTCTCCATCCTCCGCGCCTGCTCTGGTAGCCCCCCCAGTCTCCAGGAGGCCCCGGGCCCCGCCTTACACGGCGCCCCCTCTCGGGATATCTCAAGAGGCCCTCCAGGGAAGCCCTGGCGAGAGTTCCATTTTGAAGGACGAGCCCCCCCAGCCGGGGCCAGGGCCGGGTCCAAACTCCCGGCTGTTGAGTAGATGTAGATGTAGATGTAGTCTCGCTGTTGATGTTGATGTAGATGTAGATGCAGGTGTAGATATTAATGTAGCTGTCTGTGTAGATGTAGATGTTGCTTTCCTAGATGCTCCAACTCTTAGGTAGGGTCGCATTGGGATAATTTTTGTTCTTAGAACATGTTTGGGTTCTAAGAACATGTCGTGGTAGGACTATAGAAATGCCGGGACGGTCGGTCCCTGCTCAACCGAAGGAAAGCAGGGCGACACCACCACTGCCAGGGGCACCACCTCCATCAGGAGGGGAACAGACACACAGGCACAATGAATGGTTGACTCCCAGCAGAAACTGGGAAAATAGGGGAAGTGGGGGGGGGGAAGACGAAAACTCAGAAACTGTTTGAAAATAGGGGGATCGTGGGATTCGTTTCTATTTCTTTGTGTGTCCCAGGGCCCCTTGACTCCAGTGAGGCAGCCCGCGAGGCCTCCCGGAGCTGGGGGGGTGGGGGACGTCTCCAGGCGGGGAGGGGGCACCACATCACCCGCAGGGACCCCCCCCCATGGCGCCTCGGGCTGGTGGCGGTGTCGCCCCCCACTGCACACCAGATGAGGCTTGTGACGTTTCAGCCTAGTCTTTAGCTTTGACCACCAGAAAGGAATCTGGAGCACCACGAAAGCACCGACGTTTTTGAGGGTTTTCACGTGTCGGGCCCTGGGAGGCGATACTCGTTCGACACTGTTTCGATACTTTTCTGGGCGCTCGGAATTATTTTTGGGAAGTGGCCCTTAAGCACGATGGGCGCAACATAACGTAAGACATAAACCGCAAGACATAAACATACATGGAAGCTGGCAAAGGTGACCGGGGCCAGCCCTTCCACTCTTTCCAACCTTGGCCACTCTCCTTTCATTTTTGTCCAGCCCTGGCGACTCGGCGCGACCGCATCCCTGCTGCTTCAGGCTTGTTCGCCCACTGCCAGTTTCTCCAGCCCTGGCCACTTCCACTTTCACTGACCTTCCAACTTCCACTCTTTCCAGCTTCTTTGTAAACAGAGCCTCGAGCAAGAGAAGCCTGCATAAGAATGAGTAGAACTGCGCAGATTTCTCGGATCGGCGCTGGACCCCCCTTCCCTGGCGGGCGAGCGGAGCGCGCCGGGGGCGGTGCCACGGGCGCCAGCCACCAGGGGGGGCCCAGCGCCGATCCAGCAAATTCGCGCTGAGTGCTGCAAGTGTTTGCTACTGCACTTTTGTTGCTTAGCAGCGTTCCGCTAAGCGGGTCCTGGTCGCTTTGAAACGGGACCGCAGAAGAGTCTCATGATGGGCCTGTTTTTCAACCACCACCACCACCACCACCACCACCACCACCATAAGTTGGAGGGGGAGGGGGTCCTCCTCCTCCTCCTCCTCCTCCTCCTCCTCCTCCTCCTCCTCCTCCTCCTCATCCTCCTCCTCCTCCCCCTCCCCCTCCCCCTTTCCCTCCCCTCCCCTCCCCCTCCCCCTTCCTCCTCCTCCTCCCCCTCCCCCTCCCCCTCCCCCCCTCCTCCTCCACCTCCTCCTCCTTTTCCTCCCCCACTTCCTCCTCCTCCTTCTCCTGCTCCTCTTCGTCCTCTTGCCCCCTCCCCCTCCCCCTCCCCCTCCCCTCCAGCTTCTGGTGGTGGTGGTGGTGGAACACAGGCCCATCAGCTCACCCGGGGGACGGGGAGCCCGTGCCCGCCGGCTGCCAGCTGCCGCTTCGCTTTAGACTTCTCCACAAAGTTGATCCAGGCATCATTCTTTCGCCCCCTCCCTCCTCCCTGGGAGGAGGAGGAGGAGGAGGAGGAGGAGGAGGAGGAGGAGGAGGAGGAGGAGGGAGGAGGGAGCAGGAGGATGAGGAGGAGGGAGGGAACCCCAATCGCTCTCGCCTCACTGCTGGCCACATTTTTGATCCGCCCGGCCACGATACTTTTTGTAAAAGGTACATGGCAGTGCACAGGGCCCTGCTCCCACCCTTGTCCTCTATAGCCGACCTCCTCTTCGGCCCGCCGCTTCGCCTTCACTGCTCTTAGGGTGCTTCGCCGAGGTACGGGGCGAGATCTTCTGGATAGCGTGTAGCTCCGCCAGTTCTGGCCCACCACGCGGCGCGACACGCTACCCCAGGCGTCAACGTCCCGAGCCTTCTGCTTCCTTTCCCGTGGAGCGGGGCGACAGGCCATCCGTTTGCAAGGCATAGCGTGTCGCTTGGGTCAGGTGTGTTTCGTGTGAATGTCATTGTAAGGATGAGGTGTGTCCCCTGCTATGTACGTTGACTATTGCCTGCGAGCTGCCGCTACTAGGCACTCATAGGCGCCAGTAGGCGCTAATAGGCGCATACGGGGACATTGATAACCTTAATCCGCGCAAATAGGGCTGAACCTGTCTTCTGGTGGAGGCTGACGACGACGGCGACGACGACAACGATGACGGCGACGGCGACGACGACGGCGACGGCAACGACGACAACGACGGCGGCAACGGCGATAATGATGCTGAGGATGAGGATGAGGATAAGCATGAGGATGATGATGACAATAATGATGATGATGTTGATGATGATGATGATGATGGCGATGGCGATGATGATGATGATGATGATGATGATGATGATGATGATGATGATGATGATGATGATGATGATGACGATGACGATGACGATGACGATGATGATGATGATGATGATGATGATGATGATGATGATGATGATGATGATGATGATGATGATGATGATGACGACGACGCGACGACGGCGACAAAAACGGCGACGACGACGATTGCGACGACGATGACGACGACGACGACCAGCGGCCGCTGCGATACGCTGCACAAAAGTTCCCGACCCCAGGAGAAGTGCTGCGGCCACGCCGCGCTGCCCGCGCGGGGCGACCCCCAGTGCTGGAACGGGATCTACTCCTACCAGAGGTGCTGCGCGACGCCGGCGGGCCCCGCGGACGTCGGCCGCGCGCGCGTGAAGGGAGGACGACGAAAACGGCGACGACGACGACGGAGGAACGGACGAACGGACGGACGGACGGACGAACGGACGGACGGACGACGACGACGGACGGACGGACAGATGGACGACGACGGCGATGACGAAGTCGACGAGGCGTTCCCATCTGTTCTCCTCCTGTCTCTTCCTCCTCCCCACCCCCTCCGCGCTTATGCTTGTGGAGAAAAGGAATAACATAAACATGAATTGTCGGAGGTCCACCCGGGTTTCTCGGCTCGGCGTTGGAACCACCTTGCGCGCTACGCGCGCGCCAGGGAGGGGGATTCAGCGCCGATTCAAGAAATTCGCACGGACCTCCGAAAGTTAATTCTATGTAGCTTTTTCGGTCTTCCCCCCCGCCCCCCTCGCGCCTCTGCCTGAACGGCAAGCGTTGGCCGTCCAGACAGTTACGGCGCGTGCCTAGCGAAGCACTGCCTTGGGGAATACATACGGTTGGGTCTTCAATATTGCCCTCCCCGCCAGTGCTAAGAGATAGCGCACTTCCAGACGATGTTGGTTTGGTGGTTCATGTCTCGTTTGATGACGTGAGGTGGGACAGAATAGATGTGGGTGAGGACTGCATGCCTCGTCAATATCAACATGAAACGCCGTTCAAAATCGAAGCGCCCGATAGTTCGGGCACTTGTCAGAAAACGCGTTCTTCAATGCTGCGAGGGCACTGCCGGATTTCGAACACCCCTGCGCGTGGACCTAAGGCTTCGTGCCCGCTTGAAAGTAGCGCCGACCGCGCAAGCGCCGAAAACAAATATCGTCAGAGTGAGGGGGCCGAACGGTCATTCATTGTCCCTGGGTGCGTGGCTGAATACGGAACTCGTGGTGAGAATTATGCGTGTTGCGTTGTTGTTGTTGTTGTTGTTGTTGCTGCTGTTTTTGTTGTTGCTGTTGTTGTTGTTGTGCTTGTTTTTGTTGTTTGTGTTGTTGGACTCTCACTATTGAAGAATGACTATTGTTGATCCCCCCCTCCGGTGCACATTGTAGTTGTTCAGTTGATGTGCCCCTCCCGGCGCTCGTACATTGTTTTTGATCAGGGAAGGTATTCGTCCTCAAATTGTGTTGTTGGCCCCCCTGGTTACAACAACAACGGCTCCCGCTGGAGACTTCCCCACAATTTAGCCAGGACCCCCGCTCCCGCCTGAGACTTCGGTTTTTATTTAGGAATCGCGCTCTCGCACAGGACTTCCTTACACTTTATTCAGGGATCGATCTCTCGGCGCTCTGGAGTCGCGCTCTCGCTGGAGACTTGCTCGCTATTTACTAAAGAATAGCGCCGTTGCGTTGGAATTTCACGCAATTTACTCAAGCGCCGCGCTCTCGACACTCAGGCACCCAGGAGTCGCTCTCACGCTTAGGACTCCCTGCAGCCTTTCGTGGCCCCCTCGCTGCCCTTCGTGGCCCCGTTGCAGCCCTTCGTGGCCCCCTCGCTGCCCTTCGCGGCCCCGTTGCAGCCTTTCCAGGCCTCCTCGCTGCCCTGCGTGGCCCCGTTGCAGTCCTTCGTGGCCCCCTCGCTGCCCTTCGTGGCCTCGTTGCAGCCCTTCGTGGCCCCCTCGCTGCCCTGCGTGGCCCCGTTGCAGCCCTTCGTGGCCCCCTCGCTGCCCTTCGTGGCCCCGTTGCAGCCCTTCGTGGCTCCCTCGCTGCCCTGCGTGGCCCCGTTGCAGCCTTTCGTGGCCCCCTCGCTGCCCTTCGTGGCCCCGCTGCAGCCCTTCGTGGCCCCCTCGCTGCCCTTCGTGGCCCCGTTGCAGCCCTTCGTGGCCCCCTCGCTGCTGCCTTCGTGGTCCCGTTGCAGCCCTTCGTGGCCCCCTCGCTGCCCTTCGTGGCCCTGTTGCAGCCCTTCGTGGCCCCCTCGCTGCCCTTCGTGGCCTCATACATGTATGCCCTTCGTGGCCCCCGCTCGTTCGCGCCCGTCGTGGCCCCATATGTATGCCTTTCGTGGCCCCGCTGTCGCCCTTCGTGGCCCTCTCGCTGCCCTTGTGGCCCCGTTGCTGCCCTCAGTGGCCGCGCGGCCCAATGTACGTATGCCCTTCGTGGCCCCCGCTCGTTCGCGCCCGTAGTGGCCCCATGTGCATACCCTTCGTGGCCCCGCTGTCGCCCTTCGTAGCCCCCTCGTTGTCCTACGTGGCCCAGTTGCTACCCTCAGTGGCTCCGTCGTTGCCTTCTGTGGCCCCGCATTATCTGCCCTTCGTAGCCCCCGCTCGTTCGCGCTCTGCGTGGCCCCATGCGCATTCCCTTCGTGTCCCCGCTGTCGCCCTTCGTGGCCTACTTCGTGCCCTTCGTGGCCCTGCTGTCGTTCTCTCTCTCGCTCTCGCTTTCGCTCGTCGTCGCCGTCGCCGCCGCCGTCGTCGTCGTCGTCGTCGTCGTGGTCGGTCCCCTGTCGGTCCCTCTTGGGGTCGGGTTGCCGCCGATCAGCGCTGCCGCTGGCCAGGCCAACGGTCCGCGGCCGCCCCGCCGCTTTTCGGGACCCAGCCTGCAGGGAAGAACGGTATACCCCGCAAAAGGGGTACGATCGAAGACGACGAGGGCGGGTATCGAGAGTTTGGGAAACACGCGTTAACGGACATTCGAGCAGATAAGAGCGAACAGTCTTAAAATCTGTGTTGGTATTGTTGTTGTTGGTGTTGTTGTTGCTGTTGTTGTTGAGGTTGATGCTGTTGCTGCTTTTGTTGCTGTTGGTGTTGTTGTTGCTGTTGTAGGGATTTGTTGTTGTTGTTGTTCTTGTTGTTGTTGGTGTTGTTGTTGTTGTTGGTGTTGTTGTTGTTGTTGTTGTTGTTGGTGGTGGTGTTGTTGTTGTTGTTATTGTTATTGTTATTGTTATTGTTCTTGTTATTGTTCTTGTTCGTTGTCGTCGTCCCACCCGCGACCCGCCCGCGGCCACCTCGCGACCTAGCCCGCGACCCACCCCGCGACCCACCCCGCGACCCACCCCGCGACCCACCCGCGACCCACCCGCGACCCAACCCGCGACCCACCCGCGACCCACCCCGCGACCCACCCGCGACCCACCCCGCGACCCACCCGCGACCCACCCAGCAACCCATCCGCGACCCACCCGCGACCCACCCCGCGACCCACTCTCAAGGGAGGAACAACCACCCGGACCCGACAATTGACGTTTACTAAACGGCCTTCGGCGTTGATGAAACAGCCCTGCCCTGTTCGATTCATTCCTTGTGTGCGTTGACAAAACGGCTTCGCTTGTCGGGGTGATTATTATGGGGTGGATTTTCTGCCCTCTACACCGGCGACCTATCCACATTGGTTTAACAAAAAAATCGGCGCCTGCGGCGGGCTCGTTGTATAATTTGTGAACCTTTGGCGCCTGCGGCGGGCTTCTCCGGAGTCTTGCAGACTGCCGACGTCCCCACCGCCCCCGTCCCTCTTATCCGCATCTGCGACGGCCTCCCCTTCTCCTCTCGGCACGCTCCTTGCCCTCCCGTACATGGACATTATATTCGAACCCTGTGGCCCAAGATGCCCCCCCGAACCCCCGAATTTAATATTGATGGCGTGGCGACGGGGGGGGGCGTGAGTGGACAGAAATATTCGAACCCCAAAGCACCGCCTTTGCTGAGATCAACATTGATGTCGGGGGCGCGGGGGTGATTCAGAATCTCCCTCGAATGTGTGAGGGTTCGAATATATTGTCCCTCTTATCCGCATCTGCGACGGCCTCCCCTTCTCCTCTCGGCACGCTCCTTGCCCTCCCCCCCCCCCCATTTGGCCGCTCGCTTGACTCGGGCCACGATCTGCGAGCCCCCGCCCCTCCCTGGGATCGGCGGCGGGCGAGGGGGGGGGAAAGTGCGAAGGAGAAGGCCCTCCTTGGAAGACGGCGGGACCTCTCCGGGGCCCCCGCGCTCTCCGAGAGGTTTTTGCTCCCGCGTCTTCGGGGCACTGCTCGGGGCACTTCTCCGAAGGCCGGGGGACGCCCGAGCCTTTTGAGAAGGCCCGCCCCCTCCGCTCGGGCTCGCCGTCGCCGTCGCCGTCGCCGTCGCCGTCGCCGTCACCGTTGCCGTCGTCGCCGCCGCCGCCGTCGCCGTCGCCGCCGCCGCTGTTGTCGCCGTCGTCGTCGTCGTCGATTGGGCGCCGCCCAGCGTGTGGGGACGGGCGCGGCCCGAGGCCCCTCCGGCCGAGGTGGGAGCCCCGGGGTGGGCCTCCCCGGGAGGGGTGGGCCCCCTGCGCCGCCGGCGCGCGCGTTTCGACTACACGTAAGAGTGCCCCTTCGCCGGAGTGACCTTTGCTGCGCGCTCAGTGGGGTCCCCCGATCGCCGCGCCCTGTGCGATGGTAGCGTCCTGCGCGCTTGTGTGTGTTCGGCCTCCTCGCGCCCCCCCGAGAAGCCGCGCACCAGAGGTCACTCTTGCCCAGAGGTCACTCTCACGTGCAGCCGAGCGCCCAGAGAGGGCGGGGCCTCGCCGTCGGGGGCCGAAGGCGTCGTCGCCGCCGCCGCGCATCCTCGGCGGGAGGGCGGCGGAGGCGCTGCGGGGGCGGGGTCCGCCGGCGGAGGGCCGGCGGGCGTGAGAGATCCTCGGCGGGGCGACGAGAGCTATACCGATCCGATGTTGCTCCCCTCGTGGTCAAGAGCCGCATCCCAGAAATAATGGCTGTTTTTCGCCACCCCTCACGAGGATCGTGGCCTCCGAGGGGGGGGGGCTGCCAACGACTGCGCCCCCTCCCGCCCCCAGGGGCCCCCAAGAGCCCCCCAAGAGGCCCCAGGGGAGCCCAATACGCCGCCAAGGAGCCCCAAGACGCTCCCAAGAAGCCCCCAAGAAGCCCCCAAGACGGCCCCACGAGGCCCAAAATAGCGCTCCAGGGCCAGCGGAATGAGCGAAGCGATTAAATAATAGTATCGGGGCAGTGTCGAGGATCGTATCGCCTCTCAGGGCCCGGCACGGGAAAAGAGCCTCGAGCTTCGCTACTTCTCATTTGGTACTCGAAATGCTTTCTGGTGGTCCGGGCTGAGGCAGGTTGGAGCATCATCAACATAGCCACTGCCCCAGGCCTGGCCCATCCTGGGCCCAGGAGCGGTGCATAGTAGCCACCCTGGCCAAGGCAGGAGGGCGTATACACCGCTCCTGGGCCCAGGATGGGCAAGGCCTGGGGCAGTGAATATGTGTAGATGTCGTCGCCCTGAGAGATCCTCGAGCTTTGAGTTTGGGGAGGGCGGCCTCCTCGATCCCAGAGGGGCAGCAGCGCGAGCGGGGCGCGTGGGTGCGGGGCCGCGGTCTAGGCTCCACCTCCCGTTTCTCGCGCTCCTGTCCTGGGCTCCTCGTCTGAAGTGCAGTTGTTTGGATGCGCCGGTTTCGGTAAGCTGTGGTGTGGAGGCCCCGCACGAAGCGTCCATGCTGATCGATCTGTGACGCCATGCCGTGAGATAGGAAGAAGTAAGAAGTGCAGGTGGCAGTATTTTTGGATTCAGGGTTTCTGGAGCCCGCCACCCAGATCATCCGCTGCTGGGAGTTTTCGGTAACGCTCTGGACGAGCGGGTCGCGACCGAAATCCGGCCTCTGGTCGCGAATTCCAGTGATGAGCGAGCCGTCGACGGCCTGGAAACCCTCGTGTGGACCCCGGTGCGCCGCTGTTCTGGTACCCATCGACCGCCTCCACCCGCCACCGAGATTGGGCGGGCCCGAAGTCCGTTACCGAAAAGTGTTCGGGTCGCGGGTGATCCGGGCTTGCTTCGGAGACCGATGTCCAGGACTGCCCCTCGGAAGGTACTCCAGATTTCGTAATAAAGGGAGGGGGGGTCTCCTTTCGGGGGGGGGGGTCTCTTCCAGGCTATCTTGGAGGGCCTGGGGGGGTCTGGGGACGATGTTTTGGAGGGTTCTCCCACGGGGGAGGTCTGAAATGGCTTGTCTTGGAGTCGGGCGACGAAATCTATACATATCCACTGCTCCCTGACCATTCCCATCTTGAACCCAGGAGCTGTGTATGCGCCCTCCTGGCCAAGCCAGGAGGGCGTGGCGCATACACCGCTGCGGGGTTGAGGATGGGCCTGGCCTGGGAGCAGTGGATATGTATAGATTTCGTCGCCCTATTGGAGGGTCCAGACCCCCTCCCTTTTGTTGCGAAATCTGGAGCAGGGGGGCGGCCCTCGGAGCGGCCGGGGGGAGGGGGTCTTTGTCCGAAGGCCGCCCCGAGCCTGCCCCGCCCCAACCCTCGAGGAAGAAGAGACGGCGGCATGGGTCAGCAATGACGAGGCGTCCTAATAAAGTGCCTCTACTCACGATCGCCCCACCAGGGAGTGTGTTGAGACCCTTTTGTGGTTTGCACGAGATGTTCTTCGAACACTCCTGGTGGAGGCCGCCTTGTTTTGATACATCGACATTTTGTTCTAAGGACATCGGTTTGGTTATTCGAGCATGCTTTGTTCTACGAGTATTTCGTGGTAGGCCAATAGGAATGCTGGGACGGTCGGTCCCTGCCCATCTAGGGGCACAATGGCCCAAGGTGAGCCACGCAGAAAAACGGGATCAAGTGCGCCAGAATTCGAGCGAATTTTGCCTGCGCCAGATGGCGTGTCAGCGTCCTCGTTTGAAGTATAGAGTGTCGCGCTGGAAGCCTGCGTAAGCTGCGGCCTAGGGTCGATATGTCGTCTTGCGTAAGACCCGTTTCACTTCGTCGTTCAGGTGGCCCCCGCTGTCCCAGACGAACCCAGCAGGCGTCCAGAGGGTACCCCAGTAGAGGTTCCAGAACCCGGAGGTCCGACGTTGCGAAAAGTGCTGCATCGCGAAAAATCACGACCAGAGCCCTAGACCCCATCCACCTGCGGCATGTCTGAGCCCCCTCGATCTGCAAGGCCGCGCTGGTGGCCCGCGTAGGTTTTTGGAAATACGCGCGGACTTCCTGGGTCGGCGTTGCCCCTCCCGCCCCCCCTCCCCTGGGGCCCTCTCCACGGGCGCGCGATGCGCGCCCGTGAGGGGTTCGACGCCGACCCCAAGCAGTCCGCGAGGACCTCTGGAAGATGTGATGCTTACCGGTGACAGCGATCATCTTGGCCTCCCAGAGGGGATCGGAGCAGATGGGGTCGGAGGATCGCGCCGCATCGCCGACGCATTGGCGATGCGGCTCGATGCGGAGCCGGGTCTTGTCCACGCGGACGGCGCCGATGCACCGCCGACGTCGCCGATGCATCGCCGATGGTGATGTATCGTAGATGCATCGGCGATGCGGCGCGATTCTCCGAGCCCGCTTACTCGTACCACATCTAGGAGGCATCTGAAAGATGTAACGCGTTCCAGTGACAGCGATGACAGCGATCACAACGATAACAACGATCTCAACGATCAACGGTATTCTCCTGCTGTACCCAGTGTACATGATGCGAGATCCAAAGAAGGGTTCGCCGAGGACTCTGCCGACCCTCGGTGTGCACTTGCGTGGCACAGCAGAAGAACCGCTGTCGACTGCGATCGTTGTCGCTGGCTCCGTGCCAGCCCGAGTCGATATTGTTGATTGTCCTGTTGGCCCGAGGCCCGGCTGCCAGAGGAAAGCAAACGAAGACACGCCAGCCGCAGGAGGTTTGGATACTTTGGCCCCCCCCCGACGTGACTCCTCGATTCGCTGCCCCGGAGGCTGTCCCGACCCCCTCGGGGTAGCTCCAGGGCGTAAACAACGCCCCTACCCTGGTTTGCGAGGCGCTGTGCGCTGAACCTCCTGTGGGCTCATGCGGTAAACCCTGCATATCGCGCGTGTCGCGCGGCGTCCTGGCGGCCCTCTGGCCTTTGGGAGCTCCCGGGAGGTTTACAGACCACGCACTTGTAACCCAGTCTAGGGGCGCGTTTTTGCATCCCTCAAGTAGCTTTTCGTCGCCCCGCATCTATTTTTCTAGTCCCCCTGCAGTCGAAGTAACGGGCCCCGAATGCCGAAGTTGAGGGGGCATGCCCGGATTGGGTAAACAGATATTCAGGAGGGGAAAAAACACACAGACACAATTAATCGTCGATTCCCAGGAAAATATGCGAAAATATGGGAAGTGGGGTGGAAGACAGAAACCCAGAAAATATGGGAAAATATGGGGGATAATTTGATTTGTGTGTATTTATTTGTGTGTCCTGGGGCCCCTTCAGATATGCTTAATACAAAAGCATCGTCGGAGATCCGGGGATTTGGGATAACTCCGCTCTCCTGCGGCTGCTTGGAAGAATTGGGGCACCCCGAGCACGCTCTCGGCGAGGCGCAGCTGCTGGAGAGTATTGTCATCGCCTTTTGGCGTGTCAATCTTAGGGAGAGGGATAAGTTCGAGGCTGGTAATTTTCTAGTCCCCGTGCAGTCGAAGTAACGGGCCCCAGATGCCGAAGTCGAGGGGACATGCCCGCTTTGGGTAAACAAATATGCTTAATACAAAACATATTCGGAGATCCGGGGATCTTGAATGATTCGGCTCTCCTGCGGCCGTTTGGAAGAATTGGGGCACCCCGAGCACGCTCTCGGCGAGGCGCAGCTGCTGGAGAGTACCACGAGGCAAGAAAACCGTTGGGGGACCGACGAAGCGTCGGGAAACCTCCGACCTCGAACTCGATTGCCGCACGGTCAGGAACTCTGGCTTGGCGTGTCGCCCCGCAGCTTCTGGCTCACCATGCTTCGGCGCGGCACGCCGTCCACGCCCTGGCCCCGACGGGTCAGCGTCCCCGAGCTTCTCCCAGACTGCCGCCCCGCGGAGCGGAGCAACCCGCCGTCCGCTTGCGGGGCATGGGGTGTCGCCGGCCGCCACCGCGACACGCGAAGCAAAACCTTCGGACCGCAGCTCGATCGTGTCTGGCCGCAGCCCTCTCGGTGCGCATGTCGGAGGATCGCGCCGCATAGCCGATGCATCGGCGATGCATCGGCGATGCGGCTCGATGTGGGGCCCAATTGTATTCACGCCGACATCGCCCGATGCATTGCCGATGCATCGCCCGATGCCTTGCCGATGCAGCGCCGATGCATTGGCGATGCATCGCCGATGCATCGGCGATGTGTCGGCGGTGCGGCGAGGTCCTCCGACCCCATCTACTCAGGCCGTACCCAGGAGGCCTCTAGTACTAGTATGCTTGTGCTGTCTCGCTCGCTCCGGCGCGCCGCCCGAGAGGACGAGTCCTGCTGGGGGCCCCCCGGCGAGCAGGGCGGCTTCACCCCGGAGCGCTGCTGCGGCACCGCCGCGCCTGCTTCCGGCGGAAGTGGGCGGAACTGGACCGCGCTCCACGCGCTGGCCGCCAGGTCGGGCCGTCGTCGGATCGAGCCTCAACGTCGTTGAGTGGAAATAGTCGTCGTCGTGGTCGTCGTGGTCGTCGTCGTCGTCGTCGTCGTCGTCGTCGTGGAGGTGGTGGTCGCGGTCGTGGTGGTCGTGGTCGTTGTCGAGGTCGTGGTGGTCGTGATAGTCGGCGTGGGGGTGGTGATCGTCGTGGTCGTAATGGTCGTCGTGGTGGTGGTTGTCATGGTGGGGCGGAGCTGGACGACGTTTGAAGCGTTGGCCGCCAGGTTGAGTCGGAGGGGCTCGAAGTACCCAGATCCTCGTGAAAAAACATGACGGGAGATTTGATTAGACTGTCGGATTCCACGGGCCTTTACCAGGCCTCGGGACCGTCGAAAAACGATTCGGGATGAGAAACCCGTCCTGGGAAATTGGTCGAGACCTGTGGGGGGTCGACGTTATTTGAACAACCTGTCGTCGGGGTCTGGGTATACGGTCAGGAGGGTTTGCTTAGCGTATCGCTTCGACGGCTCTGGCCCACCACGCTTCGGCGCGACACGCCATCCACGCCCTGGTCCCCAAGCGTCAACGTCCCGAGCCTTTCCCAGCCTCCCGTCCTGCGGAGCGGAGCGACAACTTATCCGCGTCCAGGGCATACAAGTCAACGTCCCCAAACACGCTCGCGTCGCGAAAAACACGCTGGAAGGACCTTTGCTATGTTCGGCCTCTGGGAGACCTCGCCCTGGGACAGTCAAACAACCGCGCGGGATGAAAAACCGGTCCCAGGGAATGGGTCGAGACCTCTGGGCGGAATGGGACGGCGTTGGACGCTTTGGCTGCCAGGTTTGGCTGCGGGTGAGACTCTGGCGACTCTGGCAAGTTTACTCGGATGGCATTCCCCCCCTCCGCCCCTTCCCATCGCCGCCTTTTCAAGCAGCGCTGGGCCGAAAAGGCGTGCAGGTGTGTCCCGGCTTGCGTGAAGTCCAGATTTATGTTCGGGCCTCGCCACGCCCCCGTTTCCTTCATGCAGGTATACTTGCCAGAGTCAACGAGGACATGGAATCTAAGAGTGACCCTTCGCTGGAGCGACACCTTTTCGGACGTTCCCAGTGGTTCTCGTTGACGTTTTCGTTGGCTCTTGAAGGTTATCTCACCTCGGGAAGCGTTCCAGCAGCTGCGCCACAGCGAGAGCGGTCCGGGGGTGCCCGCGTCGTCAGGAACAGTCGTCATAGATTAGAACGCAAGAAAAATAGAAGAGGAAGGAGTCCGTCCGCTACGCGTGAGATTTCAAGACCGTCCCCTCGCCACAGTGACTCTTCGGAGCGGACCCACAGGTGCCCCGCCATCACTGGTTGGCACGCTGGTGGCCTCCCCGCGGCCCCCCAGAGCAAGCAAGTTCCCGTCGGATCGAATCAGCCCAAACGCGGCCCACGGAAAGCAAGGCCCCTGCGCGGGCAGAAAGAAATACATCTGCGTGGGCGACGGGAAAGTGCATGCACAGTTGAGCTCAGAAGTCTTGCTCGTGGTAGCCCGTATCCTGCGAACGGTATTTTTTGGGGTCTCGAGCAACGACGAAACATGGATGTCCAAGTTGCGCAAGCGAGTACCTTTATAAAGGCATCGTCCCAACGACATGCTGGACGCCTACCGAGTGCCTCTCCTGCCTAGGGTAATTCTTGTATGTGGCCGTCAGGTGCGCATATGGGCGACCAGGGCGCCTGGCGTGGTGCGCGGGCAGGCGCCAGGGAAAGTCAAGGCGAAGGAGAGAAGCAGCAAAGGCAGGCAAACGCGTTGGAGTCAGCTGGGTGTCGGAGGCGGCCCAGCCAGCAGGCAGGAGGGGCCGAGGGTCTTTCCCGTCCCTTTTGGAACTCCCAGGGGCCTGCCGTGGCCGCGGCTCGAACATGTCGTGTGTGTTTTTGTTGGACCCCGCGACGGGCCCGAGGGCCGATTTTGAGCGGAGCTGGCTGCCTCCCCCCTTCTTGACCCAGCCTCGGGTCGGGCGAAAGGGGGGGACAGCAAAGGGGGGGTTTGAGACTCAGCTCATGTAGCTGACTTTCCCGGCGCCTCTTGGCGCCGGAGGCGGCTATGCATCGAGGAATGGGCCCCTCGGTGGGGCCGAAACCAGCTGCACGCAGCAAATTTCGTAACCCCCCCTTTCCCAATCCCCCCCTTTCGTCCGGCCCGAGACTCTTCCTGAGCCTGTCTGGCCCAGACGCCCCCCCAACAAGCCGCCTCCAGCACGAGCGTCGACGTTTGGAGGTCCGCGCGGCTCTGCTGCCTGGGTCGGCGCTGGACCCGCCCCCCTGGCGCGCTGCGCGCGCCAGGGGGGGGGCACCGACGCGAGATCGAGATCTTCGGGCCGGACGAAAGGGGGGGATTGGGAAAGGGGGGGAACGAAATTTGCTGCATGTAGCTCCACCGAGGGGCCCATTCCTCAATACATAGCCGCCTCCGGCGCCGGGAGGCGCTGGGAAAATCAGCTACATGAGCTGATTCTCAAACCCCCCCTTTGCTATCCCCCCCTTTCGCCCGACACGAGAGATCTGCGCTGGCCTCCACGGGCCCATGTGGTCGGTGTTTGGAAGATTGTGAGAAATTTGACCGTTCGTTCCGAGAACCGGTATGTTTCGCACCCGTAGTGGGTTATGCCACGTCTGCCAGTGAAGTTCTAAGTTCTGTAGCTGCAGTTTTACTGTCGAAACACTTGGGGGACCGTCTGCGAAAGCTATACAACATCCTTTTCGAAAGCACGCCGGCACGCGCAGCGGCACACGCGGCACAGGCCCGAAACGACCGCGAAATGGTCACGAGAGGCCCCAATAGAGAGTCCCAGCAGAGCGCAAGATGCCTTCTGGGAGGCCCTGGCCCAAGAGTCAAGCAGTGGCGAAGCGTCCTGGCTCGCCTATAGCCCTACCCAACAATGTTCTAAGAACCTTTTGTGGTTTTCACGAAATGTTCTTAGAACATTCCTGGCGGAGCCCGTCTTGTTTTAATTCATCGGGTTTATGTTCTAAGAACATTGTTTTTGTTCTGAGAACATTTCTGGGTTCTAAGAACATGTCGTAGTGGGGCTATACAAATGCCAGGACGGTCGGCCCCTGCTCAACTCCACGGGCCCATGTCTGCGAAAGCTGTACGACAGCCTTTTCGAAAGCACGCGCGCCGGCACGCGCAGCAGCACACGCGGCACAGGCCCGAAACGACCGCGAGGTGGTCACGAGAGGCCCCAAGAGAGTCCCAGTATCTGCACGCGCGAAATGGGTACGGAAAGAACGGGTGCAATGCCCAACAGCAGTTCCTCTTCATTTTGAGCAGGACTCGCTGTCCGCGCCGCCGCGGCCTGTGTCCACTTGAGACAGAGGGCCGCCTGCCCAACAGCGGCCGCTGTTGGTTTGGGACAACATTTGCTGTTGGGCATTGTGCCCATGTTTTCGGTACCCACTCCGGGCGTCCAAACAGTAGAGCGCAGGATGCCTTCTGGGAGGCCCTGGCCCAAGAGGCCTCCTCCCCACCCGCTCCCCCTGCCTCTGACCGACCCACCGCGCAGGAGCCAGGGCACGCGTGCTGCTTGTTCTTCGTCGGGTGCTCCGATCACGGCTCGGGTGATTCAAAAAGATAAACGCCATGAACCTATTTTTCTTGCGCTGCGCGCGGATTTCCTCGATCCGCGCTGGGCCTCCCCCGGCGGCGCCTCCGGCGCCGCCCTCGGCGGGCTCCGCGCGCCAGGAAGGGGGGTCCAGCGCAGATCCAAGACACCCGCGCGGAGCGCCCAAAGTCAATGTGTATGGCGTGTTTTTTGTTGGGTTTTATTCTTCTGGGTGGAGGGGCCGCCAGAAGCCCATCGTAGTATTGCCGTGCTCCCTCTCCAGGGCGGCCATGCCCCTGCAGTGCCTGGCCCGTATGCCTGGGGGCATCGAGGAGGCGGATCGAGGAGCACGGAGGAGGGCAAGGAGGAGCAGGGCAGCCGAGAAGGACCGAGGAGGAGGAGGGAGGTCGAAGAGGAGGAAGCTCGAGAGGGCTCGAGGGGCCGCAAGAGAAGCCCATCGAGTGATTGCTGTGCTCCCTCTCCAGCGGGAGCCTTGGCACAGAGGCCGCTCCGCTCCCAACGGGGGCTCGGGGCCCCTCGGGCACCACCTCGGGTGCTCTCTCCAGCTGCTCCCTCGCGCGCCTGGGCGCACCCGGGGGCCACGAAGGGTCAGGAGGGAACAAAACTACACGGACACAATGAATGGTCGATTCCGAGGAAAATATACAGGAAGCGGAGGGGAATTAAGACGAACGTTTGAGAAACTATGACAACAGACAGGGAGCCCTTGGATTCGCGCCTGTTTAGTTGTGTGTCCCCCGGCGCCTTCGACGGGGCTCGGTTTTTTGGCCGGGGCCCCTCTGGCAATGACTCTGGCTGAGCGGCCCGCGGCGGCGCAGTTTCGTGATCGGCGGCCCGCCCCGGGGGGGGGAAGTACGAGAGGCAAGTCGCGACGCCACGATGCACACCCAGACCCCGACGGTGTGCTTTATCATTCGGCCCCCGGAGGTGTCTCGACCCATTCCCCGGGACCGGCGTTCCCATGCTCGGGGGCGGCAAAGATCAGGAGCGAGAGAAGGACGTACACGTACGTGAATCCGCGCTGGTTTCGAGAGTACGCATTGCCCGAATTTTCGTATCACGCGGCCAGTCTCGCGGATCGAGGGGCCGTGTTCATGTACATAGCTGGGCGCGTACGTCCTTTGTGGGCTCCCTAAAAGAGGGGGGTGATGGCTAGGGGGTGGGTGGATATCATGGCGTGGGCCATGATATGTCCTCAGATGTCATGGCGCCTCTTCTTACGGTAGGTTTGCGTCGTGTCGACCAGCGGCGACCCCAGCGCGGACGTTCAAGGTTGAACGCCGCCGGCGACCCAGAATCGATCGATGTTGAACGATCGGACGTTGCGGCAGCGGCCGATCGTTCAAGGTTGAACGATCCCTGCGGTGTCAAAAACCAACGCTGGGGTCGGCACGACACGAACCTGCCGTACTTCATTACGTCCCTGGCCCCCCCTTGGGCCGCGCGCATGCCGCCGGCCATGATTTGCACCCCCCCTCTTGGACGCCCCCCTCTTGGCCGCCCCCGACATGCCGATGCCGAACCCAAACGGTCATTCCTTGTTCTTGGGTTGTGTGGTTCAAGTGGGATTATACAGTGTTGATTGTTGTTTTTATTGTTATTGTTGTTGTTGTTGTTTTGTTGTTGTTAGTGCTGGTGTGGTTGCTGTTCTTGTGTTCTTATGGTCCTGAGGCTTGGTGAGGGCCCCCGGAGGCTGAAGGTAGGCAAAAGCCGTCCGTCATGTGGTTCTGGTTCGCGACGCGATGGGGTTGGGGGAGGATGCAGTTCGGTAGCAAACCACGGGAGCCTTGTATACCGTCTTGATCCCGTCTTCAGCGTCGATTCGCGCCGATTGGCGTCGGGGAGTCGCTGGAATACCGCCGATTTGGCGTCGGCCAGCGTCGACTTGCGTCGATTTAGCGTCGATTCGCGTCGATTTAGCGTCGATTGGCGTCGATTGGCGTCGAGTCGCCATGGCCGGCAAGATGGTGTGGGAGGCTCCCATGAGCTGCCACCGAAGATTCCGAGCGAGAGTTTGGGCACCTCGGGGCTGTGAGAAGGCCCTCCCCCCCGCTCCGAGGTGGCCGGCGGCCCTGGGGCGCGGCACCGCCGCGCTGGGGGATGCGCACGCCAGGGGCGCGGCGCTGTCGCTCGCGCGGAGCGCGCTGGGGGAGGGGGGGGGGGGGCTGAGAGGAGGGAGGAGGAGGAGAGGAGCAGGAGGCAGAGGGGGGAGGAGAGTGGAGTGGGAGGGGAGAGGAGGAGAGTAGAGGAGGAGAGGAAGGAGGAAGGAGAGGAGGAGGAGGAGGAGGAGGACGATGGAGGAGGAGAGGAGGAGGAGGAGGAGAAGGAGGAGGAGGAGGAGGAGGAGGAGGAGGAGGGGGGGGGAGGGAGGAGGGAGGACAAGATGCCGACCGAGAGCCACAAGTGCCACTATGCCAACATATGACGGCACGAAGCCCAGGGACCCAGGCATGTAGCAGCTTGTTCACCACTTCCTTGGTCAAACCTTATTCCCGCCATGGGAGCTCAACATCAACGCGCACGCAGAGCAAGCCAGACATGCAGTCAGGTGGCCTCTTGTTCTAGGCGAGCACACATCTTGGACGCCCCGCCAACCGTCAGTTCAGATGACGGCCATGGAACTTTCACAGCTGATGCGACACGAACAGCGCATCGTGCGATTTTCCCTAGACAGTCCAGCAGCATGATGGCAATTAACCGTCAGGCTCGCAGCAACGCGCCACGAATACAGTATGACGGCATACGCATGGTCGGAAGAAGTGGCGGCGCTCAAGGACCCTTGCTTGGACGTTGAAGCGAGGGCAGGCGAGGAACCGATCGACGCGCGAGCCAAGCGCCATGCAGGCACAGAACTCAGCGCCAATACAACGAAGACGTTCCGACAATCACCGCGTCACGACCGCGACAAGCGCCTTGACGCCCTTGGATATCAAATCGCCACTTATGTCGAGACGAGCGCCACGCAACAGGAGTGGACGCACTACCGCAGTCCGCTACTGTATGGGGGACGGCCACCACGTAAGGCGAGACCAGGAGACATGCTGCCGCATTGCACAGATGCACAGGGCCGACCCAGCCAGCACGAAGGGGAACTGGGAACGGCACGTCTCCGCAGCTTCGCGCTTGAGCTCGCTCGAAGATTCAGGCGAGCCGCGCCAAACAAAGCAGAGGGCGGGGATTGGCTGGAATCAACTGCATGTAAGGTCGCGGCGAAGCCAGTGCCAACCAAGCGCTGGAAGCATGGTATTGCAGCGGGGAGCCCTAAAGCAGGGTCGCCCTCCCGAGACCCAGGGGCAGCTTGCAACATCGAACTCGGCACAACTGTTCCCAAGCATCACCACGCCAAGGAGTGGGGCAGGTGAGCAGACTGTTTCCAAACTCGGGCGCGCGTGCGGACTCGGCTCAGAAGGCGCGCCTCGGTGGGGTTCCCCCCTCTCCCCTCCCCTCGCGGTCGTGCTCTGTCGGAGAGCTCAGCTGACAAGGTCATCAGGCACCTGTACCTCGACACTCACAAAAGGGGTTCCGACTTCGCGGACCATGTGCCATGGCAAACCAGATGGTGAGCACGTTCGTCCGATTGCATGCTGCATGGCATGTCGGAGTTGGCATGATTCATCCATCGGCTTCGCAGATGTTGTCCACACGGTGTCACGCCAGTGGTCATCCCTGAAATGGCTTACGACGAGGGTGACATCCTGCAACGGCTGAGCATGGGAAAAACTTTTGAAGCGCTGAGAGGCACCACCGCCAGCATACGGCAGGAGCCAGAAGAGTTACGGACACCGACACTAGAACAGCATTTACAGCACCCCACCATCGAGGCACACCCAGCCACGCTCTTCAGCATGACTGGATCCGATGTGGTGGCCATCCCACTGGAAGGAAGGAGGCCAGGAGACGGACGAACTGACTTCATCTTCTGCGCAACCATCATGACGCCGTTGCAGCAGATACGACAGGAAACAGGAACTGGCAGCGCTCGAGCTCACGTGCAAATCGCCAGCGGCTGCAGTGCGACTGCTTGCCCCTGCAGCAGAGGCGGCTGACAATGGTGACACATCTCTCGCAGATGACGCGACTCTGCACGCGCAACTCGACGCGGAAAAGGGAACGCGAGCCGATCCTCACGATCATCAGAAAGGTACGCGAGACCATGGCAGCCCACGTATTCCGATATAGTTACAAACCAGGCACAATCATGGCATTGGTGACCCTGCACGGTGTTGGGCACGAAAGCGCCCAGACAGCAACCATCGGACAGCCAAGTTGCAGGCGACGAGCATTGGCGTCGAGGTACTCCCCCCCGCGAGAATCAGGTTCGGCCTCGCCGCTCCTCTCCACAATCAAGTCTGTCTGACCTGGGGATAATAGCCACTCAGGGGTTAAAGGGGGGGGATCTACTTTATTATCCGGGGTTAGGGGTCATGGAGCAGCAGCGCGTGCAGCAGTTGGGCGCACCCTGAAACATACACGATCTGCACTGCGCACCAAACGACCACTGCACTTCGACGCGCTGGTCACCGCACACCTGCGCTACTGTGTGAAAGCATGGCCTCTGCTATCACCGTGGCAGCGTGCGAGGTCGGCGGGAGTGTTCTCGGACACCGACTCGCTCTCAACATGGGCAGCGATCATGAATAGCACGCCAGTTCCAGTCAATGGAGCAGGGCGGGGCAGGCGTCCCACGGCACATATCAAGAAACCAGCCCACCGCCACGACCACGACGACGTCCACGACGACCACGACGACGACCACGGCGACGACGACGACGACGACGACGGCGACGACGACGACGATGACGACCACCACGACGACGACCACGGCGACGACGATGACGACGACCACGGCGACGACGACGACGACGACGACGACCACGACGATGACGACGACGACGATGACGACCACCACGACGACGACGAAGGGCCGTGCCAGGGCGTGGCGCGCCCGGGGGCTGCTCGCGGGCGCCGCCGCGCAGGCGCCCGCCCTCGCGGTGGCCGTGCTGCTGCTCGCCTGCTGCGCGCTCCTGGACGCCGCGGCCGCGGCAGCTGGCCCTCCGAGGAGGCAAAGGTACCCATCGGTCGTCGAAAGTAGGTATTTTTGGACTCCCAGATTCCAGTCTACTTTGAGCGCCGTCCTGCTTCAAGAGTCGAGTGGGTTTCCCTCTTCCCTCCTCTTCAGGAGGCGGGCGGAGACCCAATCTATTTCCAACGCCTTCCTACTTCATGTTTCTACCTACTTCTTCCGACCGATGGGTACCCCCTATGCCGCTGCCTGTGCCTCGTCTTCCCCTTTCTCGGGCCTCGTGGGGGGCCCTCGTCGCCACCGCTGGATTCGCCAGCGAGGAGCCTCTTCCAGAGGAGGGAGCCTCCACCCTCTGCCTCGCGTTCCCCCTTCTCTCGGGCCTGCTGGGAGGCCCTCGTCGCCACCGCTGGATTCGCCTCGCGACCCTGGTTATAGAGCGCGCCCCCACCAAATACCCGGGAAGGAGCCACAAGTGCGAAGTACGGGTCCTCAGCGACCTCCTCCTTCCTCCTCCTCCTCCTCCTCCTCCTCCTCCCCTCCTCCTCCTCCTGCTCCTCCTCCTCCTCCTCCTCCTCCTCCTCCTCCTCCTCCTCCTCCTCCTCCTCGTTTGGCTCCCCCAGGCCCCGCCGAGGGGCGCCTGGGCGCCGGCCCCTTCGAGGCGGCGAGGGCCGGCGGCGGCGACGGCGGCCCCGACGACGTCGGCGTCCCCGGGTCTCCGTTCGACACCTCCGCCGACTCGATTCGAGGCGACTTCGGCCGACTCCCATGGCCCATGCCGATTCGATTCGACCTCGGATGCCGATTTGGGTGCCGGTTTCTCCATGATTCAAGGCGACTGCGGCCGACTCCCATGGCCCATGCCGATTCGATTCGACCTCGGATGCCGATTTGGGTGCCGGTTTCTCCATGATTCGAGGCGACTGCGGCCGACTCCCATGGCCCATGCCGATTCGATTCGACCCCGGATTCCGATTTGGGTGCCGGTTTCTCCATGATTCAAGGCGACTTCGGCCGACTCCCATCCCGCTTCGATTCGACCTCGGATTCCGCTTTGGGTGCCGGTTTCTCCATGGAGGCCTGCTGAGCCTGCCGATCTCCGCCGACGCGACTTCTCCCGAGTTAGGCTGCCGATTATTCCACCGATCGCCGACCCGACTCGATCCTGGTCTCTGCTGCGGCGGCGACGGCGACCCTTACATCTCCATGCCTCCGACTTGTTTTTGTTGATTATACTTTTTTGGTCGGCGGTTCCCAGGCGACGGTCTAGGAGCGAAAGCGGCGTCCGGGTGGCGGAACGAAGCGAATTTGCGAAGAGAGCCGCCAGTGTCGGCGGACAAGTTCGCACACGTTTTTTGATTATACGCGCTGTTCCCCGAATTCGGCCCCTGGGGCTCGCCGTCGGGGACCATTAGATGTGAATCCGGGGTGGAAAACTATTCAAAAGTCGGGCATGTCCTTCTACAGGGAGAATATTCCGAAATTGTCCAAACATAGTCTGGGGACGATTTCTCAAGTTGTTTTAACAATGTTTGAGCATGTTGTTGAGTATTTGTTAGCGTCCGTCCAAAACCCGCCCGTAGGAGGCCATGCACGTGAAGCTATGCCCCAGCTATTCCCCAGGAGAGGGGTCGGGACCTCTCGGGGCCGCGCACAGCGGCGAGCCTCGTCGACACGGCTGGATCCGCCTTGCAGTGCTGGCCGGAGCGGATCCCAGAGCTGGTCGTGAGATCGATGCTTGCCCCCGAGGCCCAGACCCCCCCGTGCCATAAGTAAGTTCATCGGGGGTGGACAGAACCCCCAACAGTGACACGTAGATTAGTGAATTGTCCGTTTTCGGTTCTCGAGAGGGCGCCGCGGCCGTTATTTTCCAGGCTTGCGCCCGCCAGGTTTGGG